TGGAGAAGGTAAGAGAGCAGCCCCAATGCCTCCATGTGCTAGGGCAGGGGAGGTGTCTGGGGGACTGGTCTGCCTATCTGAGGTGACAGGACATGTGGGTGACCCCTCCACCATGTGCCACTGCTTGTCAGCAGTGTCCTGCAATGCCTCCTTCCCATCCCTGCAGCAGTCTTACTCTTTACCAGCTCATTTACTTTTTCCAGAATGCAGCTCTGCCGGCATAGTGCCCGCTTTTCACACAACCTTCTACTTTTTCCTGAAATGATTTGATTTTGCAGACATGAGACAATTTTCATGACAAGTATGTGCCACAGACTTGGAAGGGCTGAAAGCTCAGGACTTCCCACCGCACTGTGAGCAGCAGAAGAAGAAAGAGCATGGGCCTCATGCTGGAAGCAAGACAGAGAGATCATCTCCTTATGCTGGCACAACTTTCTCTCTCATTCCCGAGGACTGATGCACTGACAAAATCCACATCATCCCGTACACTGTTTCCTAAGAACATGTGGAAGCCCAAGGCTGAGCTTTCTTCAGTAGAAACTACTGAGGAGCTGTAAAACATTTGACCTGCAGTGCTGTGGGATCTTCCACAGCTGCAGAGCCATGAAATGGGTAAAGGCTCAGTGAGCCTGTCTGAGGAAATGTTGTGCGTGCTCCTGGAAAGCTGAACCCTGGGGACTTTAAGACCCAGGGAATTTCTCCTCCCTTGCTTGTTTGCTGCTGGTGTCCTTCTGAGTTCCGGCTAGGCACATATTCAAGGTGCAGGTGCACGTACGTGCGCATGCATACACACACACACACAAGCATGCATGACACTAATGTGGCTGGCCACACAGGCCAACCCCGAGAGAGCTGTGCCTTTACCAGCACCCACAGAAACAACAACATCACTCCCATCAGCAAGCTCACTCCTCTTCCTCCTCTCTGGCTGAGCAGGTTTGAAGATCACTCGTGAAACATGCACACACCTTCCCTCTGTAGATGCACAAGCACATCACATTAATAATCCCTCAGATATCATGAGCTCTAAGTCTATTATCCATACCAAGACCTCAAGACCTTTAGCTAGCCACCAGCTCAGACCTTGGGTCTTTCCAGATATGTCTTCTCCCACTCTCTGGCTGGTTTAGTTTCAAGTGCCCTAGCGAATTACAAATACACACACACACACACACGCACATATGCAGGATTAGATTAATTAATTAGAAATAATTAGAGAAAAACACACACAAATTTTGGGCTTTCCAGTTGCTGGCATCCAGACCTACAGGCCCCTATGACCCACGCCCCCTTCTTGGGAAGCGCAGCAGAGACACAACTGAGCCCATGCAGAGCCAGCCTGGTTATGAGGGAAGGCATTTGCAAGGGCTTGCACAGATGATGTTTCTACCTCACCCTTGGGAAGCCATAGAAGAAGCCAGTACCAAGTGCTTTGCTCTTAGTGATGTTTAGGTGGTCCGTCAGTCCTCTCTCCTCAGCCTCCAGCAGCTCCCTGACACTGCTGAGCTCCAGAGAGCACCACATGCACTGTACATGGCCACTGCTCCTGCACGGAAGCAGAGAGCATTCAGGCCAGGTCACACCTCTTCTTTCTATGCGAGATATGTGCAGGAGAGATCACTCCTTGTCTTTCTTCTCTGTTAGAATCCATGCCACAACTGCGTGAAGGCAGGAGTATCAGGGGGATGAATCCTAGACACTGTTATTGTTGCATCTCTAAACAGCCTTTTCTGTATTCTCTAAAGACTCTCCAGGAGCCTGGTTATGAGGAGAAGATGCATCTGGAAAAGGGCAGCACAGCAGGATAAACTCTGCCAAGTCTAAAATTAAACTTAAGAGGGCTTAAGAGATCAGTTATACAAGATACCCAAAAATAACTTAGAATAAATCCTAAGAGGAACAGTGAAAGCACTGCTGACATCTTCAGTTCTCAGTGAGATGCATGTCTGCATGTTGAAGTATGAATGTTGTCTATAAATACCACCAGTGGTTACCATTGAAAATGGAGGAGGGGGTTCCAGTGCTCCAGCAACAGGGACAACGGAGGGAAGTGTTCTTCCTCAGGAACTGCTTGTGCAGTGCCTACCACAACCTTTAGCAGTAAGCCAGGCACAATCCAGATATCAGCTGTTGAAAATGAAGTGACCTCCCTCCAGTCTTTTCTCTGTCTCCAACTTACAATTATTCTTTGTGCTATGGCTCCAAAAGGCCTTTTTCTGGACCACTCAGCATTTTCTGCCCATATTATTTAAACTGGAGGGCTCAGCCACACCCAGGAGAGATGGTGTTCTGGGCAAGCTGATTTGAAGGAGAGCAAGGATGCACATTCCTCCAAATAGCCTGTGATCCCACTCTTTACACCTGTCCTGCAGACAAGGCACCTACAGCTAAACACTATGGTACCATTTGCTTCCTCAGTACCCAGGCATTTCAGAAAGGCTTTGTACCTTGCCATGTATCTGAAAGGCACCGTGTATCTCCAGCTCTCAAAACAGCCTGTATGGTTTCTGTAGTAACAAATGCCATTCCCCTTTGGCTGTCTTGGGATAACATGCTAGAAAGTCAGGTACTTGTTAAAAGTTTCTGGTAATATGGCTTCAAATTCACTGCAACCACAGGTGAGAGATGACTCAGTGCTAGCCAGTTAGCTTGAAGTCAGGTTAAGATAAAACTGCAATAAAAGTAATAGCTTACATCTGAAAAAATGCCCACAAAAGCCAAACTGAAACCATGGATCCATATGGCTAGAATGAAAAATCCTGCTTAATCTGCTTATATCAAGTTCAAATCTACAGGTCACTCTCCCTATATTCCCTTGATTTTATGTCAATGCATTCCTGACACACCTCATGCCCTAAAACTCAGAGTGCCTGGATGAAAATGATTCCTACTTACAGCAAGTATCTTTTATCGTCCATCTATTTATCTCGATTTCTTGGTGAGGGGCCTAAAGTACACCACATGTGAAAAGAAGTTGAGGGAGATGGGCTTGTTCATGTCCCTACAAATAGAGGAAGGATGACTACAAAGATGACATTGCAGCTAGAGAAGTTCAGGTTAAGCATAAGGAAACGCTTCTCCAGAAGGGAGAATTAATGGTTGGACTCAATGATCTTAAGGGTCTTTTCCAACCTTAACGATTCTATGATTCTAAGGGTGGTGCAGCCCTGGGACCAGAGTGGAGGAGAAGCTCCATCCCTGGAGTCACTGGGTGACTGACTGGGTATCATCATCCTCAGTGACTGAGTGGGTACTATCATCCTTGAAGTATTTCAAGATTTGGCTGGGCAAAGTCACAGCTGACCTGATCAGGCATTAGTGATAGTCCTGCTCTGAACAGGAGCCTGGACAACAGACCTGCAGGGTCCTGTCAACACAACGCTTCTGGGATGCTGTGATTTCTGTGATCCACTAGGTATCTTTCAGTCTGCCTGCCCCAAAACTTAATAACTTACTCGTCTGACATTCCTTCTGCTCAGATATGGACTGCTCTACCTACCTCTTTGGAAACAGAGATGGTGCTTTGATAAGTCAAGTGTCACTTCCTTGTCTGTCCTCTTGACAGTGCCCGGATTCACGGAGTAGAAGTCCTTCCCTATGCCATGGAGATATTAAAATGTTTATTTCAATGTCAGGTGAACCTTTTCTTTTATAGGAACTTACACATAGAAAAACAGACTGCAGACTACATACACAACACTTTTAGCATATTTAGCATAGGTTTAAAACAGCAAAAAATAAATAAATGTGGTAATAATAGCATTATAATAATAGATGGTTATTTCAGCACAGCTATCATTTGAATGGTTATGTTTATCTCAGTCCTGCCAACAACGACACCAGAAAGATTAACATTTTATATTGGTTTGTACATATAATTAATTACAACTAAGAAAAAATTACACAGTGACTTCAACATCACTGCAGCACTTCACTGTTTATTCCTTTTTAATGGCTCACATTTCCTAAATCAGTCTTTTGACTGTGCAATTACAATTGAGCAAAACTAATAAAAAAAAAGCCCTCCTGAAGCTGTCTTTGCATCAATTAAAGTCTTAAAGGGCAAAATGGAGTCTTCTCCATTACCTCTGGCAGGCATCCTGCGCTCTGATTCCTCGAGGCAGGCGAGCTATTGGTCACCTTGGAACATGGCATATTGAACGAAACACATACACTTGGTGGATGGATGCACCTAGAGCAGAGGAATTATTTTATAATCTCTGATTGCCTAAAGAATTAAAAAGAAAGGTCAAAACATCCACCCTTAAGAAACATTTCCTGCTCAGAAGCAATGTTTCTCAAGAATACCTGAAAAAATGGAGGTGGAGTCCTAAACAGAGAAAATTTAATTTACAATGATAAATGGATGCAGCAGCCACAAAAAGGAGGGAGTGGCACAGGGCTGTGCTGGTCATAGCAAGGCATTTGTCTGCTTTTTTAACATTTTTTTTAATTGCTGTGCAATTGCTTAGCATGCTTTGTACTTCAGGTTTTGTCTGTCCTAGTCACATGTGTCATATCTATCTACTGAGACATCTGTGCCCATGGCAATGCTTCCTGGCACTGGGAGGTTCAGTCAGACCCTGGTGGGGCACAGGCATTGTCCTGATGATAAGAAGAAGAAGGGCAAAAATGTTGGTGAAAGAGGCCTGTGCTCTCCCAATGCTACTCCATCTGGAGTGCAACACTGTTCCTGGCCTTGGAAAAGAGCATCACTGACCCAACAGGGACCCAACCATCAGAGAAAACAATTTTCTTCACTAACTGTATTTCATACTCCTGATCAAGGGATTGTAATCCTAAGGGAGAGCCCAGCCTTGTGAGCATAGTGGTTTTGGTCCAGGTTGGAGGCACAGGTAAATGTCTGCTCTCTGTGTGAGACAGCTTAGCAATCCTGTAGAGTCTCAGGTGGGAGTGATGGCAGAAACACCAGTCAGAAAGAGGAGGCAGAGGAAAACCAATCAACTTCTGTCTCCTAAAATAATCCTTTTCTTTTAAAGGTGAAAAATGTCGAAGTTTTATTGACCTTGCCCCGGCTTCTGAAAAAGGTAAGACAATACAGTCAAGGCTTTTTCCCATTTTACAAATTGCATCAGTATTGTTTCTTGTCATACTTCAGTGCCAGGGGAAACATTATTTCCTAGGCACACAAGGACCTACATGTCATCCAGATTACATAGATGCAGGTGAAATAAATGCCCAGGGTTTAAGACAGCTGTTTACTCAGTTTATGCAAATCTGTCATTTCTCTGATGCATTTTGTCTTCATTCGGCTGAATTTTTTTCAAGAAAATAAAGATTTATATTGTAATACAGACATTTCCCTTCTTCCTATACTGAGGAAGGACATGTTATACAGTTTCCTCAGGCCATGAAGACATTTATGGTCAGAAAACTGCAGTCACAGTACCAAATGTCTCTTTGTGAGAGGGAATCATGTAGATGCTTGTTTGTTTGATTTACCCTCGAACAAAAAATATATTCAAGTGCACAGAAAGAGGCAGGCTGCAAAGGTTTTCCTTACCCTGATACTGGAGTTGTAAATTCTCAATAGTAATTTAACCCATGTTTCAAAATAGTATTTATAGGGAGAAAAATGGGTAGAGTTCAATTAACAAACTGGGCAGCTGAGCCCATCCTGCTCCCTCCTCAAGACAGAACACTCTGCCCGCAGCTGAAGAGGTGCACGAGCCTCACAGTGTCCTTCACACTAACAATGGGCTTCTGGAGAATCCAAAGGACAGATGAAAATTCATGGTTGTACAAAGAAGCGATATATTTTTTTTTAGATCACTTGAGTCAATCACAAAACCTTTGGGGCACATGGTACCTTCATCAGGTCTGACGGAGAGGCAGTAAGTCGTGTAAGGAACAATTGTTCTTAGTTTGTCTGAATTGCTGACCAGCTGGACAAATTGAAAGAGAATGGCAATTACCATTAATAAAGCGGTGGGGTATTTCAGCGAGAGAAATAGTAACAGAGACACTCTCTGTGAAATTCATTGTAAATAAACCTAAATAAATTGTGCACATAAAGGAAGAACAAGCCTGGGATTACTGCCGCTAATGGGCTCTGAGCTGAATCTTACACACACAAATGGGACCTTGGGGTGTAACCGTTCTTATGAAACCACTAGCTCAATACTCAGCAGTGGTCAAAAAGCAAACTATCTGTTAGAAAGCAGTAGGAAAGGACTTGAGAACAGAGCAGAGACTATCCTGTTGCATGAGGACTGTATACATCTGAGCGCTTCGACTCATATAAAATATAGTGTGGTATTTTGTCCTTTTTAGTCCAGCTCACAGAACGGCGGCAAGGATAATCAGAGTTCTGGGAGGTTCTGTACAAGGACGAGACTAAGACTCTTCAGCCCGAAGGAGAGACATGTGAGAGGAGATATGATGGACAAATAAAGATATAAGAGGAACTGAAAAGGCAGCCTGGGGAATAGTAGTTCTCTGCTTTTCCCAGTACAAGGACTAGTGGGCATTGCATGACACCTTCAGGAGACAGACTCAAAACAAGCACACTGTGCCTGTTATAAAGGCAATGGGATGTTTTTGTGCTTTATCCATTTTCTGTGAAAGTTCATTATGGTGCATTATGCTTGGTTGCATCACCCACACACTTTCCAAAACAGCATTTAGTGCTTTACTTTAAGTATTTTTTGGTTGTGTGAAATGCTGACAGCAATTTTTTTTAATTGAATTTTAGAGTTGCTGCATGATGTCACTGTATATTTCTAGACTATTCTAGACTATTTTACTTTTTGAGGAAGGAAGGCTCTTTTGGTGTAGTGGTATAAAGAAACTTATAACTATTTCTGAAGTCTTGCCATGGAGTTGTAAGGATGGGAATGCTCAGTCAGAGATGGAAAGTGCTGACCACCTGACTCATAAACAACTGTAGATCAAGTTGGACACTGCAACATAGTTAATCTGAATTTTTCACTATCAGTCTTGTACCGTCCAGAGGTACTTTCATCAATGTGAAGAGAAAAGCGTGTGTCGATGCCGAACTTACTTTCACCGCAGAATTCAACTTCTTGACTTCTTTTCTTCTCTTTTCCAGCTAAAAAGAACTTCCTACTCCTTTAATTTCTTCATCCCCTCACTCAGTATTGACTTCAATGCTCATAGGCTTGTCAACTACTTAGTTACACCCAGTGCTGGGACAGATTCTTGATTCTTCTTCCAAGTCCGTGAGATATGATAACATGCATTGAATATAAAAAGTGGAGCTCACTTATACAAATATGTTGTGGCCTTCACAGTCCATTGTGTAACTGGGAATTTTTGGACTAAACCTATCTGCGCGTTGAGACTTCAGCTTATTCAGTTTCTGTACACATTCCTAGCACCACTTACCACTAAAGCTGGTTGTTCAAGGTTTTGATTATCTAAAACATGCTCTGTTACTGCAAATGAGCATTGAGGTTTTCTAAAGTTTTCTTTTCATTTGGTTTTCCTTGATCCAAAGAAGACCTCTATCTAACCAACTTCTAAACTAAATACAGGCTGTTGAAAGACCTCTGAACACATCATCTTCCATTTTTAAGGCATGCTAAAAGGAAGCCTAAGAACAAACTTAGTCTAGTTGTGTAGCCATTCTCTTCTAGAATCCCTCACCAATTAACAGCAAGTCAGTATAAAACCTCTGCAAAATACTTTAAACCTTCTTAGCATAAAAAAGCTAGTCACTGAAACATTCGCAGTAACATAAACCATCTATGGTAAGGCCTAGCTACGTTCTTACCACAAATCTTGCATCCATAAATGAAAATGTTTCTTATTCTTACTGCAAAAAAGTAATAACTTAAGCTTCAGGTTCCTATCTTTAATCCATTTGGGCTGATCTCTAGTGTAGCTGGATCCTATATTTCTGATCAGCTATTACACCCTTTCCATATATTGCACCAATGACATCTACTAAAAGGAGGCAGCAAAATTTGGGGCAAACAGACCCACAGTATGGTATAAATAAGCTTTTCCAACCCACACTAGAAGAGCTCTTCCCTGCATTTAAGGCAGCTGCCAACAATCTGTCAGAACCTTGTAAGCCTAACATTGAATTTATTAGCTATTGCTGGTTGTTAGTGCCAAATCTGCTTAACGAAATCAGCTTGGTGATGGTAGATAATAAATAGAAAAAAAAAACATTTTGTGTGTCCACAAATATTTCTTATGACAGTTTCCATTCACTGTTGATAAAGGATGATAGGGCAATAGCTGGTTACATTGGCCAGGACTTTTAATGGGCTCTCACCGAGCAGATATTGTTCGGTCCTATGAAGTGTGCTATTTTCTAGTTTTCATTACAGATGTGACTATTAAGATAGCAAGTATTTCCAGAAGGAGTTGGAAGGAAACTGCCACAGTAGGCTGGACCTGATCTTTCAGTTCTCAGTTGCTCCTGGGATCTTCTCCACAAAACTTAATCCAAGTTTTGTTCCTGCTGTGTATTTTTGAGTATTTTGATGTCCAAAAAAGAAAAGGGTAACGTGTTTAGTGAGGGACACTTATGCATTGCACTGCAAAGTACACTCAGTTTTCAGCTACTTGGTCCGTTTTTGAATGCAGCCTTTCCTCTCCCTTTGGGCTGTTGAAAACCTTCCTAAACCAGCTTTCTGCCAGGCTCCCTGATGCAGTGCTCATCCAGAACACTCTGGCTGGGACACACTCCGGCTGGGACACACTCCACCGCCTTCCTCCTCTCATCACACCTTTTGGGTGCACCTTCTAGCTCCCCTTTCCCATTGCTTCAAACCTGTGCCCGATAGGACTTCCAAGAGACCTTGGAGGATACATTCAAAGGGAAGAAACCAAGGCAAAATATTATGTCTGTAAACCAGGACACCACAATGGAAAGCAAAAAGTAGCAATATGTCCCATCAAATGATCTGATAAATGACTTCACTGACTAGCATAACACCACAGCTATATACATATACAGGTCTGCTCCTCCCTCTGCCTAGAACTGTGTGGGGATTCAAACTCCCGCATCCTGCTATAAATGCATAAATGTCAGCTGGCAACCACAGTGACACAGAGAGACGGAGGATGAGGAGTCATGACCAGCCAAACTTCTTGTGTAAGTGAAGGCTGGGATATATACAGTGGAAATCAGTTGGAAGCAGCATTTGTGCTGGAAGAACTTTGCTGGGGAAGAGGAAGGGCTTGCAGGAAATGTGGTGCCCCCAAGAGTTTTCGGGATGGTCTTCACTGGGGCGGTGACTCAGGCACTTTCCAAACACCTGCAGTGCCTGCAGCACATACTGAAATGAGGTGCCCTGGCCTGAGGAGTCCTGTTGGGAAGTTGCTTCAGGAACAGGCTCAAAGGGCAGTGCTGGCTCAAAATTTAGAGATGGCCGCACCAACATAGGACAGGATTCACAGGACAAACTCCTTACAGGTATGGTACAGTCTAATCTAAGTTACTCTAGTGGTCTGTAGGACCCCACTTGCTTCAGCTGTGATATCTATGGAATAACACCCACAATGAATGGCAAAGCAGCAGGTCATCAGCAACTGCCTATATTGTATTGCTTTCTACTTATTTATAGGGAAATTCACATGTATAAAATAAACAAGACTTTTTAGAGACCATGGAGGTTGAAGCAAGGCAAAACCTTGCAGAAGGAAAATGCTCATTGCTAGTGAGCATTTAACAGTCCAAAATGTTACAGGGGACTTTTTAAATTAGAGACCGTACTGGCAGAGGTAGGAGATGCCTTCTGCATGTCCTCTACACAGCTCATGATGATGCATCCTGTAGAGCTGAAGCAATAAAAATTCTGTATTGTCTATAAAGTAGTTGGCAAAACTAAGATAGCACATGGCAAACGGCAAATAAACAAATAAAGTCTCACCTAAGCACAGCACAGAAAAAGAGAAAGCTGAGCCAAATATATATATACTTCTAAGCCAGCACTACAATAGCAATTAATGAGAAGAGAAACTAGATGCCTGATTTTAATGGATACTGACATAATAGGTGTACCAGAAATTTGATGGGAGAAAGATAATTAGTGGGACAATAATATCTTGA